TCTGTCTGTCTCTGTGTCATCGTCGTCGTCGTGGTGCAGCGCAGCGCAGCGCAGCACAGCGAGGCGGGAAAGAGCCCTACCGCCCTCCCCTCTCCCTCGATCTCTCTCCATCTCTCGTATGCGCCCATCTGCGTGCCTATCTTCATCGTCTAGCTCCCCGCAGTAGTCTCATTTGGTGGCAGCGGCAGTATTGCCGTGCGTACGTAGCAGCGAGCCCGACTACCGCGCTCGACAGCCTCGATCTGTTCTGAGCAATCCCGGTGCGGCGGCGGCGGCGGCGGCGGCGGCGTTTTTTTTTTTTTTTGGCCGCGGCGGGTTTCCGGTCCCACGAGGTGGACGCGGATGCGGTAGGTGGACGCGGGTCGCGGTCGCGGTGGGCCGGAGGTGAGGGGATCCGAGGACGAGCGGATGCGGTGGACGCGGTGTGGTGCAGGAGGGGGTGGAGGTGGAGCGGACGGGGTCGAGGTCCAGCGGGGCGCTGTCCAGGTCGAGGCAGCACCAGCGCTGGGCTCAGCGAGCCTCCCTCGCTCCCTCCCCAGTCGCGGCAGCCTGCGCCATTTGAAAGGCGGGGAATACAGTACAGTACAAACGCCGCGCGCGCCAAAGAGGGGGGAATACAAACGCCGCGCCCAAATACAAAACACGCAATACAATCGGGCCGACAAATACAAAATGGGAATACAACCTCCTCATCCGGCTTGCACGTGCCTCTCGACCGCCTCTCCGCCAAAGGGGGGGTAGGCACGTGCGCCCGCCAAAAAAAACGACGCGTTCAACGGCGATTTTCCGCCTTCCGAAAAAGTTGGGCGGCAAATCGCCGTTGAAAGCCACGTTTTTGGCGGATCGACCCCAGGGCGTGCACGTGACTCGGAGCGAATACAAATTTGTATTCCAGCCGGCTTGAATTTGCATTTGAAATCGGTTTGAATTCCGGCCCATTTATTTGACATTTTAAATTGGGCTGTCGGGTCGCATGCCCCCGCCCAGGAGGCTAGGGCAACCCACCTCGACCCTCGCTCGGCACCTCGGCCCCGGACCCTGCCCCTGTTGCGAGGGCACCCACCCCGGCCTCGGCCTCGGCCAGGGCCAGGGCCAGGGCCAGGGCTAGAGAGGCAGGGAGGGTCGCGACACCCTGTCGCTGGTCCCTGCTCCGCGCAGAGCGGGCTGGCGTTCTGATCGCTTGGATTTGCAAGGAAAAGCGTATCGACGCACCGCACCCAACCGACAAAGAGGGAGAGAGACAGAGAGAGACAGAGAGGCACACTGCGGGTCGAGGTTCGGAGCGGAGACCGCGTCGCGGCGACGGAGAGGGAGCGGGTCGCGGTCTACGGCGTCCAGAGGCGCGCCTGGCCATCCGCGCCGGCCGTGACGAGCCAGGGCATGGTGGGGTGCCACCTGCTGTCCAGCACGCCGAGGCCGTTGGACACGGCGTGGCCGCCGCGAAGCACCTTGAGCGGCACAATGAGGGCGTTTCGGTCAAACTCGGCGTAGACGGTGCCGTGGAAGATCTGGATGGTGCCGTCGTCGCTGGCGCTGGCAAAGAGCGGGTAGCGCCGGTGAAAGGCGACGGAGCGGATGGCGCGCGTGTGGTAGCGCATCGTCTTGTACGGCCGCGTCGAGAGGTCCAGGTCGAACCAGGCCACCTTTTTGTCGTACGACCCGACAATGAGGTTGTCGCCGCCGGCGTGGATGTCGAGCGACGAGATCCACTTGAAGCCCGTCAGCAGCGTCTTGACCAAGCCCTGCGCCATGAGGTCGTAGACGCGCACGTAGCGCTGCGTCGCCACAAACAGCAGCGGCTTGGACGGATGGAAGAGCACCTTTTGCACCGCCGAGCCGCGCGCCGCCCGCTTGAACGGCGCCTGAGACCGGTGCTTGGTCAGCTGGTGGATCAGCACCGCCGTCGAGCCGGCGTTGGCGTCCGGGCAGACGGTGGCGAAGTAGTCGCCCTTGGCGTGCCACGCAATCGACTTGGGCGTCGACGAGTGCGACGACGTGATGCTGATGTGCACCGCCACGCCGCGCCGG